ACTTGCCATTTTTGAAATAAATATTATTATCCCTATAAGAGTTGGTTCCGGTCTCTTCGTGCGTATTCCCCGTCAGGACGAATATTGATAGCTAAATCGTAACTTCTTCTAAGTTATGTATCGACGATTGACATTTGCCGTTCTGGCTGTTGGTCGTGAATGCCTACTCTCATCTTGTGTAGAGTTGGAATATGCACCGGTGCTGTTTGTTTCAATTTGGATACAAACCTACTAACCAGGACGTGGTTGCCTTGACAGATGCTCTTGTCTATTTCTAAACGCATTACTGAACTTGCATGGATACCCCCCTCCCTGGTGTTGGCTGGCTTGAGCCACTGCCTGGGCTTGCCCCCCCCTGCTGGGCTGTCACTTGCTCCATCCGTGTCCCCATCACCTTCTTCACCACCGTACACGCCTGCTCTGGTTGCCGTTGGCATCTTGAGATGTCTGTGTTGGTGTGTGGGTATTGCAGGCTATTTATTGGTAAAGACTCTTGCTGTATTCTGTGCGAATACGCCCTTCACCCCTCTTGTCTTTGCTAGTAATTTGTATGAAAATAAATGAAAATTGAATTTATCTCACTTACTTTTATTGTGGTCTCGCTTTGCAGCACTTCCGTGGGAAGGGTTTAATGTTCTGTGTGTCGCGTTAGCTTGTTGTGTTCCTTCCGGAGATGGAGGGAGAGTAAATGGTGTTTGTTGGTTCAGCTTATTCCTTCACGTGTGGACTTACTTGAAGGTGTGTTTTTGTGATGTGGTTTCTAGTACAGAGATACTATGGTGATACTGTCTCGAGTCTGTGGGGTGCCCCGACGTCAGGGTGATTTTCTTAATTGAAAATCCCCGACATTGATAATTAAATCACCTTGCCAGCTCAATATTTGTTTTTTAGTAGCTTTTCTGTTCACTTTTTTTTTTGATACATCACTCTGGGACACGATATAAATACCTTGTGAGCGTTTCCTGTGCCTGTTCTTCACGGGTAGTTATTTGCTCTTCACGTCCGCGCTTGTTATTCGTTGGGAATTCCTCTTCCCTCTTACTCTGCTCGCCTCTTGTGGTCGGAACTCTGATCATCTCTTTCACTCTTGTGGCCAGCGTCGTCTCGGCTTCTTCTTGAGTTATTCTTCTTCTTCTTGTCATCTTAATAAAAGAACCTTCAACACTCTCGCTTGTTTGGTTAGTACACTAGTTATAGTTTTGGTTTTAGAGTGTAACCTATTCAACTTATCTAAGTAAAAGATATTGTAAAAAATGTAGAGTATGTGGAGTAGCTGAAAGATACGAGTCAAAGGATACAATAGACCTCTTCTCAAGTACGGTTATCTTAGCCAGGAAAAGTCTCTAGTCTGAGAGGACCGAACTGAGTCTTTATTTGTGTTTTCTAATTCACTAGCTTACCAGTTCTACCGCTAATATTTCTGCTGACTCTAATATCAGGAATATTTGAATTCTAATTCCAAAACTCAATATTGAAGATGAGGTTTTGAAATTTGGATTGGCTTTTTGATAATCTGATCCCTAGATGCTACACACTTCCTGCACTTCCAAGAAGGGGCCATTGTAATGCTTCATTACCTAGGTGAAATGAATAAAATGACAGCACCATACGGAGGACCATACAAAATAGTACGCAAGGAGAGCAACGGGTGTTTTGTCTGCAACCTTGATGGGACGAAAGCCTCGGTTTATCGGACTGGTCAAGAAGGCTTACGCGGGCGAGGAATTCACCCCCAACAGTCAAGTACAACCATCAGAAGAGATCCAGTTCTCCTCTATACTTGACCACATACCATCCACACAAGGTGATGGATCCCAGGAGTACCTACTGCAATGGACAGATGGGGAGCGTACCTGGATACATGAATCAGACATCGCAGATGCTGATATTCTTACACTATACCGACAGCGTACCAGACGCAAGCAACGGCAATCCAGGCCGAAGAAGTCTACATCAACGAGCACTGATCAGCGATCAGCGAGCACCCTGAAGCGCACGAGGCGGGGAACTTAACCAAGTTTCACTGACACCGAAGGACACTCCCACTTTTCTCATATTGAAGCATTCTCCGCCCACAAGCCAGATGCACTTTCCTACGCAATATGGATTCGCCTTGCACTTAGGAGTGTGATGGAAGATGTCCCATGGTGCAGGGTCATTATTAATCTGGTTGACCTGCGCACGTCCGAGCACACGAGCGACCGCTACATATGCCACTTATTCGATATAACGACACGGTTCAACTTCTCTAGCCGTTAAAGAATAAGATTACTCATACCGTAGCAGAATCATGTTACCAAGTCTTTGTTGACTTCGTGTGTTCTAAAAACGGTAGGGAGGTTTGTAATGACGTAACGAAATCATTAGTACTTGTACCCGGTGTGCGTCACAAAAGAGATAGCAAATGAGACGCGCCATAGAAGGCAAGTTATTTTTGAGTACCGCATTATCGGATGATGCAGATGTTTGGCCATGCTACCTTAAATGGATACAAACGCATAAGAACAGTGTGCTGATCCCGTTACGGAAACAACACCCGCTCTCTATTTTCGGGGCAGATATAGTGAGCTACAAATAGCCTATAGTAAGGACGAACCTGATTGGCATGTGTTGCCATGGTTAGGGAAGGTACGACGTATCCACAACATGATATATCCTTGCTTGCGAGAGACATATAATGTGGCCTTATTAAAACTGCAGAACAAATGAAATAATACTAAAAATGATAGGAGAGCATCATGTCGGTGACCGAGTTACTAACCTTTAGTTGTTGACACCAAATAAATCGAGACCGAAGTATATAGAATGCAAAAATATCAGTTCAAAATCCCCTGATCTTTAGCTCACTTCCTAGGGCTGAAGCTTTTTTTTTTGCAATTTAATGTATTCCTTTAACGTAACGTTTAGTACGACATTTTCAGCCTGGATATGCAGCCAGCTTTACACTCATTAAAAAAACAGATCAACGTTCAACCCACAGTTGAATACCAGATACTGTACAGCTCATGGTTCTTTATGTAAACAACCATTTTCAATAGGGCAGTGAAGGACGACAGGAAGCTCCAGGTCCGGTTGCTAACCAAAATATGATAAGTTTGCCAACATACGATTAGATTCAGCTTGCAGACTTGTGAACTAGGTTGAAAAGCACATACTCCTCTCGCCACAATCAACCACTCCTTCGGCCGAACTGGGCCGCTGAAGCCAATAAATTGAAACTCGTATTGAACTATAAATGGTAAAGACAAAAAGTGATGTAGCTGTTCTACGTAATCTCAATTAATTAAAGATTTTTAAAAGAATTTATGGGCTCGGGGAGCAAATCTGTCATGTCCAGCATGATTGCAGAAGTTCTAAGAACGTATGTGCTTCAAGAAACTCCGAGAGAACAGAAAGGGAGCCCTTGGAAGCGAACTATATACTGGAAAAAAATCGCCACTTTATAGATCCCTACAAATACCTCTTCTGTATTTCTGATTTTGTGGCGTAAGACAAAGGAGTGGTAGCGATTTTCAAAGGTGTTAGCTTTCTTAGAGTAATTTCATCGTTTACGTCAAAAAGTATGCCTTCTTGGGGTATGTGCTCTGCTTTCACGGTATCTTGAGTTCTAACCTTTGAGCTGTGGTGACATTACCGTGTGTTGACTGTGATTCGTTGCAATGTTTTAGCACGTGAATCACCAGTAGTGACCACTCGCTACAGCAGATACCAGTCTCAGGCAGCTAGACGTAAGCTGCACCACATTTCCCCCTGGAAACACCTATTGAAACCTCAGTACACTCTTAATGACATGCTTCCGTCCCAGGCATCCGAGCTCGAGTTTCAGAACGAAGAGAAGGAGTCCTCATCGAAAAAGTCTACATTATAGTTAAGACTGTGTGTGGTCAAAGCCATCGCTCTCTCCGATCTAGGTAACGCCACTCTGGAGAGGACGAAAATATTGGGATGATATTTATAAAACTAATCCGATCGAGAGCTATACATATAAACACAATTTTTATAGACCACTACACCCGGGTATGTGCCAAAGGTATGAGCTCAAGTCTTCATTTTGAATACATATATATATATACTGCGGGTTTTATATAGATATATAATTATGTATTGCATATTGAAGAACAGTTAAGACATAAAACTCAATGTGGACAAAAACCCAAGTACAATACTAAGACGCCACAAGCACATGCTTCCCATGTAAGATTATGTGGAATACCCTGGCAACTAGCCCTCAGAACCCAGAACAGATGAGCACCCCACCAACCTGTAAGAATATGATGATTTCATAAAAGCCAGATCATTAAGTCGAGCTGACGTTCATCTTCAACCGAAGCCTGGGCATAAATATACTTGCCTGTCGACGGAAGTTCAGTGTATAGTTGTTAGTCCTTGTGCATCTAATGTTGCATCGGTTGTTTAATTGCCGACAATCCCGACTATATGGGTTAGGATTGTAGTCCTGTACACAACAATACACATCCATCACACTGGAGATAGAAAATATATCGAACGCATGATATGCATTTATCAAAGCGACACTCTTATCTCGACGAGTAACACATAACTGAAAAAGTCCATGCTCGATGTGATCCGCTTGGAGTATGCGATGAGCAACCATCGCAATCGAATGTATTCAGGAATATTTTACCTTGCTGCTGCATCATTCAGAGTACATTGCGATTGAAACAATATATGAAGGTGTCGGTGTGACGCACGAACAACATTCTAACAACATCTTTTTGGAACAGGTAGATATAGTACGAAAATTTTTATTGTACTCCTGTAATATGCATATATATATA